TGTCTACTTCACAAATATATAAAAATATTATTGAATCTCGACGATTTTTAAGGAGGTTTTTAGAAAATTCTGCAGCTCTCTAAGACACGAGACACGCTAGTTTTAGAGGTTTCGACGCTCCCCAAAATTAAAGAAACCAAGAATAAAAAGATCCCTTCCCCTCATCCGAAGAGGTAAGCAGTTCTCCTTCGAATAAAACAACCCCGGGTCCTGTATCTTGAAGTATAGTGAAAAAAGAATTTACGCAGGCAGAGGGCCCATTTTGGGCCTTGGTCTCTAGAAAACTCCTGAACGCTGAGTTCTTGCGGCGAAAAAAACATTTCACAACTTTATTTTGATGTACCCAACATTGGTGGAAAATTGCGTGGCAATCCCATGCACTGTATCAAAAATCGATTTTGGAGGGGGAGGCGGCCTTAAGCACACTTTTCGTCACAAAATGAAACAATCGCGAGCTCTGCATATCCTTCTGCTGAAAAGATATAAAAACAAGAAAAGAGCGAAAAGCAGTGTTGGAATCACATTTTCTGCAGAGTTATACATGCAATGGTCGATAACAGATTCGAAATCAGCTGGAAAAACTGTATCAACTAGATAGACAACAATGGATTACCGTCCTTAGGACGACTTAATTATTTTTGAATTTGAATTATTTCGAATTTTCTCCTGCTAAAAATGCACACTGTGCCGTTCTCTACCGTTGTTCTGCAGCAAATTTTAAGTAGCTTCCACTTTGTATTACTTTAAAGGCGTTGAATATTTAATTGTTGTTAAAACGGGCGATTGTGATGGCGCCGGTACAAAGAGCAATGTCTCACTCAAGATGTTTGGTACAGAAGAAAAAGAAACGAATGATATACAATTAATAGAACTCGATTCTGTAAACGAAAAACCATTTCAGACAGGATGTACAAATAGATTTAAAATTAGTGCACCTAATATTGGAAAGGTTTGTGTGATTTTACCTCACTCATTTTAATAATATATGAAGCGTAATCACGTTTCTTCAGCCACAAAAAATAATAATAAAACACGATGGAAAAGATACGACAGGCTGGTTTATTGATTATGTTGAAATCTCAAGGAATGATTTCTTATGCCGGTATGAAAATAACTCGAAAAAACTATCGAGTTTCATCTTATTTATCTTTCATTTAGCTTTTTGGCTAATAGATGGCTCAGTGAGTCGAAAAACGATAGACAATTGTTTGTTGAATTGTTTTCTTCGCAGCATCCAGGTTGATTATTTCTGTATTGACTCTTGACTTGACCGAAAGAGATTTTTATTTCTGATATAGCCGTTATGTACAACATTGAATTAGAAACGGATGTTGCTCAAGAAGAGTCGCTTGATTCGCCTTGTTATATTCAAATACATGGTACACAAACATCAACACCTAAACTATTTCTTACACCAGATGATAAAACAACATTTTCGAAAGGTTCAATTGACAAATTTAGTGTAACAAGTAACAATGTTGGAGAGGTACAGTAATTAAGAACTATTAATGATTTCCCATTCATGTCTCTTTGCTCATTGATATTTGGATAGATAAAACGGATTATCATTGGTCACAATGCTTTGGGAAAAGTCCAAGAATGGCATCTGAAAAATTTTAAATTAAATTTCATAGCTCAGCATCATGAGTGAGTTGCTGGTTTATTTACAGTTCTTAAATTTTTCTCTGAAAACCTGATTCCATTTTAGATTTCATGTCAATAAATGTTTAGGTCCTATAAAAGGTGGTAAAAGCTTATTTGTTGAACTTGTCCCAGAAACTCAACCGTCCTGTAAGTTATGGACTTCAGAAACAAAAATAATACGAGTGAGGTTTATACTTTTCTTTCACTAGCAGCCGATCAATACAAAATTATTGTGAAAACAGCTAATGTTAAACGTGCTGGGACAGATGCTGATATTGAATTAATTGTGCGTGGGACTACACAAATTGAAAAGTTTTCATTGAAATCATCAACCAAGGATAAGAATGTAAAACAAAACAATTTATTTCAACAAGGAAATGCAGATGAATTTATTAGTGGACACACAGATATGGGTCAGGTATGAGAGATTCCAGTTCGATGAATATCATTTCTGTTCTACAGCACTGTAGTATTTAGTAAGAAGCGTGCAGATAGAGATTATGGTTGTTTGGCTGTATGATGTTTACTTCTTTTTTTTCTTTGAAGATTGACAGTATTTCACTTGGTCATAATAACAGTAAAGCGCAACCTTGGCTATTAGAATCTGTGGAGATAAAACAAATAGATCTCTCTTATAAGTCTGTTGACAATATCTGTACATATATATATGGATAGTCGTTCATATAGTTTTCATTTTAAGATTTATTGCTAATTGTTGGTTAAACAGTCGATTTGGACCAAGTGGAACATGGATAACTTTGAAAGCAGGCAACGAAGATGGTAAGTCAAATTATATAAAAAAAACACTTTGTTAAGTTTCTAACAATTTGCTCAGTACATAATTTTACTTATAATCAAAATAGAACTAAGTAGAACTCTGATTCTAACAGAAGGACGATATTGATGAAGTGGAGAGAGGATTTCTTCACTCTGAGTCATACATCCCTCATGGATTTATGACAGCATTTTGTAGAAAACGAGACATTTTTCCAAGGGGGAAAGCACGGAATCCTGGAATCCTGAATTCTCCTGGATTCCAAGGATTCTCTATGATTCCTTCGGATTCTCCAGGATTCCATAGGCTTCTCCAGGATTCCATAGGATTCCATAGGCTTCTCCAGGATTCTATAGGATTCTCTTGGAATCCATAAGATTCCCTTGGATTCTCTGGAACTTCCCCTCAAAACAGAATATTTTGTTCTGTTTTTGGGAAAAGTTTCCCAAAATATAGAACACTTTTGTTCTGTTTCGGGAGAAGTGTAGAATCCCGGATTCCATCGGAATCCACCCGATTCCATTGGATTTCTTTGGATTCCGTTGGATTCTATTGGATTCCGTGGGATTCCAGGATTCCAGGATTCCGTGCTTTCCCCCTTGCATTTTTCTCACAAAACTGACCGCAAGAACTTCCGCTTTTCGATTACGCTAAGATAAATATTGTTGTAAACATCTCGTTTTCTCGACAATTAGAATCCTATTTTTTTACTATTTCGATAAGAAATATTATAACAAACGAAAATCTTTAGGAATCAGTATCAGTTCTTATTTATATCAATTTCATCTTGTATGATGTATAATAATATAGAATTTTACACTTGAAAAGATTCAAGTGTATTTACCAAGGACATGCGCGGCAAATATGCAAACATACTTTCTAATAGAAAAGTCAAAACTTTTTGAATTTCATGTTTTTGTTGTTTAAAAAACAACAATAAAACACGCGCATATTACCATGTAACATTAATACCATTCGGCTGTTGAAGGAAACTCATGGTTGTAGACGTTAATTCCTTTTGTTTATTAAATATTATGGCCATTTAAGGAGGAAAAAAAACAGAAAAAAAAGAACAAAAA